TGGTGGTAGTCGTGAGGTCACCAGGCGTGGTGGTAGTCGTGAGATCACCAGGCGTGGTGGTAGTCGTGAGATCACCAGGCGTGGTGGTAGTCGTGAGATCACCAGGCGTGGTGGTAGTCGTGAGATCACCAGGCGTGGTGGTGGTAGTGAGATCACCAGGCGTGGTGGTGCCAGGCGTGGTGGTGGTGGTGGGTCCAGCCGTGGTGGTGGTGGTGGGGTCAGGACAGGTGATGTCTTCTGTCATTTTTTGGACGGTGTTGACGATGTTAGCGACGAGTTCATTGACGTCTGTATGATAGTGAGTTATGAGGTAGTTAGAGAGTCCGGCATCGTTGAGGTCAATGTTGTAGATTTGTTCGAGGCAAGAGGCCCAGAGGTCATTGTCTGTGGGTAGTTCGATTCCGCGTTCTAGGCAACGGTTGGCGCCGTTGTCAGTGAAGCTTTGATCGGAGAGGATCATGATGGGGAAGATGTTGCGGGTGTTAAGGACGTGTCCTACTTGTTCGAGTTTGGGATACTCGTAGTCTTGGCAATTCTGGAAGACTTGGAAGCTGCCTGGATGTTCTGGTGCAGGGGGAAAGTAATCAGGACCCATAAGTTTAAGTAGAGCATCAAACTCCTTCTGTTCCTGTTCATTAATGGATTTATTATTGACTTTGGCCTTAAGCTCTAGAAGCCGGGGATAGTTGACCTCGCTACCTCTGTAGAAAGCGCCCATGGCGGCGAAATCCTGTCCCCAGAAGGTGTAGGAATCCCCCTCAACCGGGTTCCAAGATTCAACGCCACTAGCAACTTCCCCGAAATAGTGCGGGAAGTCATCTGTGATGGTTAATAATACTCTAATGATATGCTGTCCCGCCTCGTCATAAACCTTATCAGGGGAGGACCAGTTAACCTTAGGGTCCATAGCCGCATACATCATACCTTCGTATACGTTCTCAGGGTAATCACCTCCCTCCGCATAAGAGTTGTAATACGTGTTCTGGTAACCGGTCTCGATGTGTTTGTAATCAGAACTCAAGGCAAACGTATCCACGTTATCGTAACAGTAGTCTATCAAGTCCAAAGTACCACGACCAGAACCATTCCCACGGAATGGCACCGGCTTGTCTGCAAATCGCGCCATAGACACCAGCACACTACCCTCTATCTTCGAATTCAACTCTTCAATAATCTGCTTAGCCTTAGTAGACATCTCCAAGTTAGACTCCGTAAAAGACGTTGTCGCGTCCTGTAATATCATCAACTCTACACGACGGTCACACTGAACCTCGCCGTATGCCACAGCGCCCAATACAACCAAAGAAGTTCTCATCTAATCAACACAAAATAATTATGATAAAGATCTTTTTATTTCTATCTCCCTTCGAGACACTCTGTCTCCAACCATTGATTCGTAGAGACGTAACAGCTCAATGACGGGCCGGCAACGGGGTTTTTGATATCATGGAGACAGAGGGTAACATGGAGACACACAGAAGTATGGACACTCACTCCTGACGCGATACCCCTATTCCGCGACTTAGACGTGAATCGCCAAGGTCACCGCGCAGCCCTTGCCGCCGATGAGAGTCGACAACGAGGAACACTTCGAAGACTGGGTCGACGAAGTGGTGGGCTTAGTCAACCGCGCGGCCCACAAAATCGACGAAAAAAGTATGATAGAGGTGCTTGGGCGCAAATACCTCCCGCGAAGCCACAGCGCCTCGCGAGGGTAGACCGGGGTCCTGGCATACCCGTGGAACAGTTCATTTCGGACATAGCGCGTCTTCTCTTTCCGACGTCGACATATGCCATGGAGGCGTATGTCGCGGCGCTGACGGTCTGGCCGAGCGACTTCGTGCAGCTCTCCGACGTATTATTAGCTAGAATTGCCCGCTATGTGAGACTAGCGCGTAGATGGGGTCTCACGGAGACAATAACTCGCGCAGGGCTCGACATGCGTATTAGGCGCTCCGCGTCACCCCAGTGGCGGACGTGGTATACGAATATGTCGGTCAGGGGAAAGTCACTCCTAGACGTAGTTGACAGCGTGTGCATCAACCTCGAAGCACAGACCCGTGTCTTGGCCGTTGCAAACCCGGCAGTAAACGTCCAACAATCGCCCGCAGAGCAACCATCGGAGATGGTTGAAGAAGAACAGCTGGGCGAGGTGCAAGTCGGCTCACCTGTCTGCGCCACCTGCGGAGGGTACCCTCATCCACGCAACGGCGTATGTCCAGCACGCGACTCAACATGCCTCAATTGCGGCAAACGCGGTCACTGGGCCGGAGTGTGCCCCACTCGGTACTACAAGGATAGTTATGGACGTCCCATGCACTCCGTGACTCAAACGAAGAGTGGGACCATCATCGTGAGAGTTGGTGGCGACGTGACCACAGGGCATAGACTCACCACCGCCGCTGGGACAACAAGCGCAGAAAGGACGCGCACCGCAGGAAGGAGAAGAGGCCCCCAGATAACCGAACGGATGGCGCCGAGGGGACCGACGGCGCAACGGACATGGAAAGGCTCTTGGAGAGACTGGAAGCCTTAGAGGCACGGGCTAATGTCCCAACAGGGAAGACACCGGCCGAGCAGCCCCCTTTTGCGTGAGAGGCCTGGTGGAGCAGGCACCGCTAGATTTCCTAGTGGACACCGGAGCCGACATGAGCCTGTTGCAGGAAGCGGACAGGAAACGGGCAGGGATACCGCTCTCAGGAGACACGATCCCGGTCGAGACGGCTATCGGCACCGGCACCCTACCCCTCACTGTGTTGTTGAGACTAACTACGAAAGACAAAGAAAAATCTTCGAGGAAGAAACTACGCACATGGAGCCACGAAGCCGGTGGAAGCTGTGGAGCCTGCTGGAACGATACCGCGACACCTGGGAGGAGCCCAAGGTTGCGAGAGTCAAGTACGCGGCCAGATTCACAGTCCATGGCAGGCCTTTCAAGGCGAGAGTACGGCACTACGAGCCGGAAATGCGTGAGGAGCTCGAGAAGCAGGTTAAGAGTAGCTCGAGTTAAGGGTCA